ACACAACATCTTTGTTTGTATGTGGTGCTGAGGATCGAACCCGGGCCGCACGCGTGCCAGGCGAGCACGCTACCGCTTGAGCCACATCCCCAGCCCCAATTCTGTATGTTTTTAATATAGAGATTAATTTTCCAGCTCAAAGATCACTGTTGGAAGTATGTATTGAGCAAAAAGAAACAGAAATTTAGAACAATGAAGTAGAATACAAGAAGTAACCATGAACAAGAATAATAAAAGTAGACATGAAAAACTGTGCTGTATATGTATAATAAGAATTGTAATGCATTCCGCTGTCATTTATTTTTAAAAAAAATCAATAAAGAAAAAAAATAGTAAAAGTGCTGGTTAATGTAAATAAGGATGAACTTAAAAATAAATTACTTTGGTTGGGGATTTAAAAATAATATGACTAAAACAACAAATTGCAGATAATGGGAGGGCCAGATCAGGTTTTTTCTTTCTTTTTTATTGTCAGACGGGTATGTGCTAGTGTTGTAACAAGGTTTAGAGTGAGGCACAGCATGAACATCCAATCAACACACTTATGAACCAAAAAGGATCAAGATTAGTTTTCTAGAAAGGCTTTTTTAATTTTTGCAGTACTGTGGTTAAAACAACATTTTAAAGCCGTATGTTCCAAGAGCAACTAGAGATACTAATCAAATTTGTACTGTATTTAAATGCATTTTTCACATGTTAAGGATAACTATTAAATGAATACAAATGGAATGTATAAGCAAAAGAAAATAAAATTCAACTAACCTAATAGCAGAAAAGGAATAAAACAAAGGCAAAAAAAGAGCAAGGCTTATATAAAAAATGATGGCAGAAATGATTCTGTTATTTTTAGTTTTTAAGCCATCCAAAACAAGACTACTTCACACATCAAAGGCTGTAGAATACTACCCAAAACAACACTCAAAAGAAATCAAAAAAGTAAATGATTTATTATTACGTAAGGAAAAACCCCCCAAAATAAACAAAGTAAGCACTTAATAACACAAGAAGGCAGGAGGAAATTAACAGCCAAGAAGTTGATCTTTGAAAGAACAAATCAAATAGAAAAACTGCTGATAGGAAAAAAAAAAAAAAACAACAAAAAAAACAAAAACTGCTGATAGGATTAATGAAGGAAAAAAAATTAACACTAAGGAATTCTACAGAAGTCAGCCTTAAAACACAGAGCAATCCTCTTTATACTCTAATGCAAAACTACAAAATTCTAAAATAATGCCAGAACACTGCCACACAATTTGTGCGAAGACACTACTTTTAAAAAAATTTGAAGAAAATCCAGAAGTTTCAAGGGTATGCTACTAATAAACTGGGCATTATTTCTTCTACTGGCTATTCGTATAAAGAAGAAGTCTTTTCACCATTTATTTACTCACACTGTTGTCTGACTATATACAAGTTTTCAGTGGTCTGAGATAAAGCTGGGAACGTCAATTTATTAATGAATTACTAATAAAACTACATTTTCCTCTTTTCCCTTTTTGGAGGTGGAGGATATTGGAGATTGAACCAGGGGCACTTTACCACTGAGTTACATCCCCAGCCCTCCATATTTTTTTTGAAATAAGGTCTTACCAAGTTGCTGAGGCTGTCCTTGAACTCAAAATCTTTCTGCCTCAGAATCCTGAGTGACTAGGATTACAGTCATGTGCTGCTGCACTTTGCTTCCCTTTCCTTCTTGAAATACTATATGTACCATAATTTACTTAATTTATTAAATAACTTTACTTGAAAAATATAAAGTAACACTCACTATGTGGGGGTTATTTTTAAAATTTTACTATCTTGTTATCTCAACTAATGTTTAGATTAAGTTACAAGCACCTATCTCACAGAAACAGTAGGCCAGGAAATTTTCATTTGGCTTACTTACTAACATCTACCATCCTAGACCCCTAAAGTATGAAACACAATAAATAGTAATAACAGACACAACCTATAATCATGTCCTAACATTACAATGAAACTGTGCGACAGGAAAAGTAACCCATAAAATCCATGGGCTTTACTCCTTCCAACACAAGACAGCAACATTTCCCCATTTGTGTCCTCTCAATTGATATTACTTACTATGTCCTAACCAGATAGCCTTTAAAATCTATTCCATCTTCAGAGTTTTACAGTCGTCAGGCTATTATTTCCTTCAGAATTATTATTGTTAGTCTCTCTTTCTGCCTCTAGTCTCATTTATATCAATCCATTCCCAAATAAACTATCTCCAGATTTATCTTTCAAAAAAAAAAAAAAAAAAAAAGATTATGGGGCCTGTGACTGTAGCTCCGTGGTAGAGCACTTGCCTAGCATGTGTGAAGCATTGGGTTTGATCCTCAGCACCATGTAAAAATAAATAAAGGTACTGAGTCCATAATACAACTTAAATATAAAAAAATAGGTTATGATAGTTACCTACCAAACCCTTAAAACTAGAGGCTAAATAAAACTCAAATCAGTAGTTCAGGTACTCAAGGATTTTTATTACTTACTCTTAGGTCTCATTTTTTTTTTTTTTAATTTCTAACAAGTTCATCTTACTAGATACTTTGTTCCAACACTTAATGTGCATCTCAATTTTAAAGTACATACATTCCAACTGTGATTCAACTAAGCTGATAGTTCCTTAAAATCAGTAAAGAAATGAGTCCTTTTTCAAGTGGGTATCACAGTATTTGGTTCTGGAATGCAATATTTATATTTAAATGTAAGTTCAGGCAGTAATATTGACATTAAACATTTAAAAAAATATCCTATAGCCATATCTTTTTCAGGGGAGGAATTACAAACAAAATTTGAATTAATCCAGAAGTATATAATTTCAACAGAATCCCTTTTATTCAGAAACAAAAAGCAGAACTTATCACAATAAATGTGAATTCTTTGGCATTAATCAATATTGGAAAATAATCTGTTAACGTCTTTGCTATCCAATTCTACCATTAGAAAATCGGATCTATGAAGGTAAAAACTTTGTTTTGCTCACCAAAAGTTTTGATGAATTCAGCAAGGAGCCATGTGAGACACAGCAAGCAACCAAGACAGGGAATGGTGTTTATCACCAATTTTGGCAGAACTCCAGCCTTTCTGCTTTACCTAGTAAATGGTTCACTACCCAAAGTCAGTTTATCTCTTTATTTTTTGTGTAACTAATTTTTGTGTGTGTCAGGATGACTGTTTTAGAAAATGGCACTTTTCACCCTTTGCCTCAACTGTTTTTTAATTAAATTTAATCAGGTGGGGGTACTGGGAACTGAACGCAGGGAGACTGAGTCATATCCCTAACCCCCTTCTCCCCTTTTAAATTTTTATTTTGAGACAGTCTCACTAAGTTAGGGCCTTTGCCAAGTTGCTGAAGGTGGTCCTGAACTTGTGATTCTCTATTATATTCTTTTCTATTTTGTTATTTAAGTACAGTTTGAAGAAAAGACGGGAGAGAAATATACTGCCAGTCAATTCTCATAATACTTTCCTGCCTATGATCATGCAAAGCAAACCAAGTATTGAAAATTCACTGTCCAAATACTAATAATTCCAGCAACTGTCTCTCATTCCCCTCCTCTGTCCTCAGCCAATAAGCTACAATAGTTCCTCTTAAGAAAGACTGTCCTTCAAACAGGCTACTCTGCTTTCTCCTTTATAGCAACATTCTTTTAAAGATTTTCTTAATGGTTCCCTCAATTCTTTTTGTCCCATTCTTCCCTGAACCCACTCAAAACAGGCTTTCACCCCTTTTTACCCTCTACCAAAAGTGCTCATCAAGGTCACCAAAACATCTCTGGCCCTGTCAGTCTTTTTATTATTAAACTGTCTACATCATCTGACTCACATGGTCATACTTTCCTTTCTGAAACACTTTCTTCCTTTCCCTACCATGCTCTCTTGGTTTTCTTTTTGCTTCAAGTGTCACTTTTTTGAGCCCTTTCTTCATCATCTTTCATAGCTCTATGTCTTGTACGTTCTCAGGATCTAATTAATCCCCAAATTTCTTCTTTACTTGAGCTTCCCAGCATTTTCTTATTTCCTGTTGTATTTTTTGCCCCACTATTTAATGCTATATGACATATTATATAGTTCATTTATTGATGTGTTTCATGAGAGTAAATATTTTTATGTTTTTAATTAGTATTGTATTCCCAATACTCAGAAAAGATCTAGCTCACTATAGCTCAATAAATACACAGAGAATGAGTGAATGAACAAAATCAAAAGTGGTAAACTAGTCTGTACTAGGATCTTATCAACCATACACCCTAGTAAGCATGTTATACACATATCAATCAATCTTCAAACAATCTTATGAGTTTTCTTAGGTTTTTGGAAAAGAGAAAGTGTGAGAGGGGCTAACATCTTCCAAACTACTAGGTGGCAGTACCATAATTCAAAGTAAAATGAATCATGTTTGAAATCAATGTTTTTGGCCACTGCATGGTACCGATTTTACTGGAGTATTATTTTATTAATTTAAGAAGAGTATAAACTCTGCTAACTAAAGAATCAATAATAAAAAGTCCCCCCGAAACTGTGAATTAATCTTCATTTTCTTTGTGAAGATAAACATTCATTTAGTAACATGTCTTTAGTAACAAAGCCTTCAACACTGCCATTTTCAGTGAAAACAGTGCAGGTGAGAAAGTACACTCTCCTCCAAATCTGGCCGAACAATCAATCACCTAACAATGTTTTGCTTTTTGAAAACATAACTTTCAGCTCCAATCCAGAGCAACTGAATCACACTCTCTAGAAAACAAGACCCAGGAACCTAGTATATTTTTAAAGCTCTCTAGAAAATCTTGGTTGTTAGCCAAGTTTGAAAAACCCTTAAATTAAGCAAATCAAAGGTGGCATGAGATCAGTTAATCCCTCTTAGCACCTGGCTCACTGACAATGACCAAATCTCTCTGGTACTGACCTTCTTAGAAAGAGGGACAATGCTATTGGGTCGAACAAGCCTCCGCTTCTTACAGCTCAGTACGGGACGTGTCCGGGCTGCCACACAGGTACCATCAGATGATGAAGAAACTAGATTCAGTCGTTGCTTTTTATGTAATTGTTCTTCAGCATCTGAGCTGTCACAAGGAATATGGTCTGCCAAGACAGGCTGAAGACTACACAGGGGAAGAAAAATTCACTTTTTAGAAAACATGGGAAACAAAGCCTCTAATAACTGGTTCAACCTCCTCTACTAGCAAATGCTCACAAACATAAACAAGTGTTCTACAGCGGAAGCAGGTCATTTCTGGATAAGGTCCACTAATCTAAGTATGTTGCTGTGTCTGTGTTTATTTATAAGGTTCTTGGGTATGTTTACTCTATTATGTCTGAAAAGTACAAAGGTCAGTAAGTAATCTTAAATTCCTGTGATTAGGTTTTCCTCAACACAAACGTGATTAAAAAGTCTTGATAATTACAACTGGTAAGAAAATGATGGAAATCTGCAAATGTTAATGAGCTGCCTTAGAATCAGCATACCTGTGAATCTTCAATTTTAGGGATACATACTGTTCATTTGTTTAGGGTTCTGTGAACCTTCATATACACAGATTTACAAACACGACCTTGGGGAAATTAATCTGTTCTACCACAGAGGTATTTATGTAAACTTCTTTGAGGAATTCCTCTAAGATTTGGGACCAATAATAATGATGTAAAATAACTGTATACTATTTTTTTTTTCTCCATGTCCAGGCCCTTTTAGACCATGGCAGGTAAGAGAGAAATACATAAATATATTGGTATAGTAGGACGCATGCAAATTATTAATCCACGATAAAGCTTCTGCTTCTTCAAATCAGGATCAGTATTGGCTAGAGACAACAAACTCACCTTTTATAAGCCTACTAAGTATAAAAAGTAGAAGGGATAAAACATACGTGTTAATAACTCCATTGACAGGTCTCAGTGCTCCACATGATTTGGTAGATAATGACTCTGAAATAGGACCAACAGGGGCACCATGGTTTTCCAGTGGCTGAGAAACAGATTCAATCTGAATAAGAAAAAAATAAAATACACATTAACATTTACCCAATAACACCCCTATCTAAAAAAAAGTACCATATCATTTATAACAAGCACCGAATATTTCTCATGACCGACTTGAAAATTTGAGTAAAACTCATATAACTGAGGGGAAATTAGCTTTTGCTTTGAAACAAAGAATGAGGAACATAAATATTTATCAGATTAAAAGTAGTAAAGGCCTACTGACAGGGAAATGATCCGTAGAAGAGAACTATATAGCCAAACAATTACGCAGTAACATGAACCTTATGCTAAGGTTCAAAGAGTATAGAGTAATACCAGTATTAAGGCAACTAAGAGAAAAAATTAAATATAGTTATTATCTGTTTATGGTGTATGGTGGAAACTTGATTTCTAAGAATTGCATTTTTTGTGTGTATATGTATGTATGTGTGTATATAGATTATTCTTTTGCAGGAAACAAAATCAAAATATCTAATGAATCTAATTGACAGATACTGACTTCAGACTATATAAATCAAATATGCTTAGAATATAAGATGAAATAAGATAGATGTGTAAGAATTATGTAAAGGTTTTTAATTTCAATACTCAAAACAAATCAGGAACAGTTATTAGTGTGAGTCACATGGCATCTTTCAAGTACAGGGAATAAAGCCTGTAAGACAAGGAAAGCTATCAAGCTATCCACTGGTTCTGGGGTTGGTGAAATATCTCAGAAAGATTGTTGTCTTTATCCCCTTACATTTGATCTGGCTTTGGGATGTTCTGAAGTTCTCCTTCCTATAATTGCTACCCTTGCATTTCAAGGTCAGTATTTTGAGGTTGAAATCCCACCCGCTTCTTCTACGAAGAACTATTTCTTCACAGAACTATTTCTGATCTTCACTCTTCCAAGAAAATAGACCAAAAGATCTACAGTCCTGAAAGCAGCCCTGGTAAGTATAAAGTAAGTACACAGATTAGGAAGATAATTTAAAAGATTTAATACAAATTAACCTCCAAAGCCAGCTCAAGGTAAGTATACAAACAGACTAGTCATGTAAGTATACTACAATAAGTGAACACTGTTTTCCTTGTTAGATACCCTGAACATCTACTAAGGTATCACAAATGTCTTAATTATATTAATCAATGCTATAAAAATTTTGTTTTGTTTTGTTTGGCAAGGAGTATAGAGATTTAACTGCAAGGACCTCTTCCAGGATAAAATGATACCATTCTTTAACCAAATCAAAATGGCACACAGATTCATTCCCTTAAACTGTTTTGACGTTCCTTGGAAAGCAACATGGTATTAAACTGCAAGAACTATAAGATAATTAAATCGTATTTATAAAGTTCGTCACAGCAATAATATCAATAACCTAAATGCTCAGTATCTGAGGCATAATTACAAATTGTAGTGTACCAAATCAAAATGTCAAAAAGAATCATAAAAGATATTACTTCTTCTCATGCCAGGAGAGTATTTAAAGGAAAAAAAAACTTCACAGAAATTGTTTTAGGAAATGGGGTAAATGCAAAATATTTTGAATACAGTTGTAGTGACTAAAATGTATGTATACACATAATGAACAAAGTGTTAGAACCGAAAGTTTTCCTTATAAATAGGTTATATTTTTATGTTAAAAACAAAACAGTAAGAGGAACCTCATAAAGAATAAACAAACATTACAACATGACAAAAAACTACCAACAATAAAAAGGACTACAAAAAAAAAAAAAAGATTCAGGTTGTGTGACTTCAGGTATGCTAAATATGAAGAAGATTCCTTTCAACACAAAAATACTGTGACTATCAAATTTTTGCTGGTATACTCCAATATGAAGAATGGGTGTTAATTTTAAGTTCACTTAAAATATAGCTTTTAGCATTAAGTTGTGACAGAGGTCTGATTTATATATCTACATATTCTACAAGGCACCATGTTACGTAAGGTTGAACCTCCATTTCAGGTTTTGTTTTGTTTGGCAAGGAATATAGCAATTTAACTGCAAGGATATCTTCCAGGATAAAATGTTACCATTCTTTAACCAAATCAAAACAAATTTATCTTTCTACAGAAGAATCAATTAATACTTACCAGTAATATTATCACTCATAGGTAACTACTGCTAAACAGCCTTATTTTTAATGTTTATAGAAATATATTTAAATGCCACTAATCTTTAATGTAATTTTTATTGATCTTTTCAAAGATAAACCTACATTAAAACCAATAGGCAAATACTGTTTAGTGCAGAAATGTTAAGATGGGCTGGGGTTGTGGCTCAGTGGTAGAGCACTCACCTAGCAAGTGTGAGGCTCTGGGTTCGATCCTCAGCACCACATAAAAATAAATAAGTAGAATAAAGATATTAAAAAAAAAAAAGAATACAGAAGCTCACAGAGATCAAAACCATAAACATCAAAGAGGAACTTTACCAAGATCCCAATCCCAGACATACAAGGAAGCAATGGATATTTAGAAGAAAATCCTGTAATCAATCTAAAACCCAAAAGCACAGGATTTGGCTGGTGTTGTGGCTGGCTCAGGGGGACAGCACTTGCCTAGCACGTGTGAAGCATGGGGTTTGATCCTCAGCATCACATATAAATAAATAAAATAAAGGTATTTTGTCCACCTACAACTAAAAAACTATTTTTTAAAAATGCACAGGATTTGAGCAAGTAGGTTCACCCATTCTCAAATGCAAAAGGGTTTAAAATGGTAACCCCAATCTCAGCGCCCCATTTAAAAAAAGAGAAAAAAACTCACAAATACGTAATTTCACTCAGAACTTTTATATACATTCACGTGAAACAAGGTGAACACTCCCTATCCTGAACTCTGAAAAGTGTGAACATATTAACAAACTTTTAAGAAATGTTAAATCCACAAATAATTTAGGCTTTATCAGTAACTACTGTAATGGTTCACATCATTATAGTGTTTTCAGAAAATTAAAGCATGACTCGGGTATCTTACCTACCCCTCCAATAGGAAACTAAAAAAGGATGAACCAATCTATGATTGTCCTGAGCAGAGAACAGGGGTTATCAATAAAAAAGCTTCTATCTGAATTTTATGTGTTCCGATGTACCCTAAGAGTTTCTGCATCCCACAGCCAAAAAGAAGAGCAGAAAAGCTAATGTGGTAGGTAAAATGCTTTTTATAATCCCCTTCTCTTCAAAGCAGGGGCACAGGGGATTACCTTTGGCATAATCTTAAGAGTCAGAGGAGGGTTACTGAACATTTTTCTTGACTCAAAGGACAGGTGTATGGCATAAAATGATTAAATCGGCAATGACATTCAAATTTGTTATTCATATAAAGTTAGCATCTGTCTGATTCATTACTCCACCCTGTTAGCCAGACAATTAAGTGTAACAAAGCCTTTGAAGAAAAACTAAATTAAGGATTTACGAAGGGTGTGCTTTTGTGGGGCCTGAGAATCACTAGATTTGTTTTACCAAAAGGTAAAGAAAGTAAAAGGGTAAACACAAAGAGGCTCACACTTAAAAGTGCACAATAAAATTAAACTCTACGTTTAAGATATGTGTATGAGGTTTTACTTTGTTATTCAATTCACATCACATCACACCTGCTTGAAATACCATTTTATTTTAAACACATTTATCGGCTAGAAAATTTAAGAGTTGGGTTTTGGTTAGTTAATTCTCTTTCTAACAAACAGTATCAAAATAAAAATGCTAACTAAGTGATAGGAATTTTTATGCCTGTCTTAAGATAAATTAGTGACTCTGTAGGATAACAGTACTACATTTTAGAGAGCATGGTTCTGAAAATTTCACTTCCGCCAAGTTACTTATTAGGTTCAATTTCTCCTTATGTAAAATGGGGCCATGTGCCTCATTTTCCTATGTCTGTAAGTTGATGATAAAGGAGAAGTTATATAATTATTATGTTTTATTTCAACAAACACAATGCTGTTACAAGTCCAATGGTCTGAACCTAAGATTTATACTTACTAACATTGCTGAAAACATGCATCTAAACAAACAACAGCAATTGTACTCACAGTCTTACAGATCTTTATTATTCAACTTATTTATCTAAAGCTCTATTTACTTCAAAAGGCTCAATTAGTCAGTATTTAATACTGTGGATCCAGTATTTTCTACTCAGCATCCATCTCTTTACTTTCTGCCCCCAAACCCTTGTCAGGCCAATGTACCACTCATCAATCCTGGTAACTGCAAAACTTCAAGAAAAAGAAAGTGTTTCCTACTGAACCAATGGTACAAGGAATATATCTCGGACTATTAAAAAATGACAACGCTTTATACTTTTAGCATCCTTTTCTCTGAGAAAAAACATCAGTCCTCACTTAAAGTTCAGTTCTTTTCCCCATTACTTCTGTAAAGTAGGATGAGTAAGAAAAAGTACAAGGCTTATCTTACAAATATAAACTAAAAACAAATAATGATAAATAATAATTATATTTTATTATAAATAATTATCATATTTTATATTAAATAAGCATTGCCTGTGCTAAACAAAACCAAATATCACTCAATTTCAAATATAATCTTTAAAAGAAATATTTACTAATGAGGGAAACATAAGAAAATCCAAACACCAATGAAACTGTTTACCTACTGAGAACATAATGTAAAAAAGGAAAAATGGAAACAGAAAAATAGGAATATTTTTCTATGTATCTCTAAGAACTATAGTAACGTTACACAGACAAAACAAAAACCCAAATCAACTATTTTCTCTGTGAGAATGGGACTAGAAACAGTGTCAGCTACGTACAAAGAACCAAACTCAGAAACAGTGTTTTCAGACTATGTATGATAGAGCTACCATTGTACACAAATATTATACTCTAGTTAAACTTATTTCTTACAGAGGTATGAGATGGTAATTATGAAACGGGAACTGAACCAGTGATTATAAGTGGGTGAGGAGGCTGATGAATTGCTATGAACGCACGGTTTTAATACACAGATGTTAGATAAATGTGTGTGTAAGATATAGGAAATGCACATAT